TTTTCCGCCCACTCGCGCAATTTTCAAGTTCAGATGTAAAACAGTGGCGTCGCTTGATGTCGCCATTTGCCATCTGAGATTAGATCATCGCCATCCAGTCAAGTGAGCTAAGCGCGGGCGTTGCGATGATGGCACTCGATTCGAGTTTTTGGGATCGTATGACAGCATTATTGCGACCCATCCATCAGTTTGTGGCCATATCGAGTGGGAGTGGACTAGAATGCTAAGTTTTTTGAGGGAGGAGCTCGGATCTTGACAGTCCTGAAGAATGCTTTCTTATTTTTCGAAAATTATCTTGCCAAATTTAAGAACGACAAGAAAGCTCTCTGGTTGAATTTTTGACGGGATTTATGGATATTGTTTTGCTTATATTGACCCAATTGTAAAAAAAAAACTCTTGGAGAATTTACATTTTATAGCTTTCTAAAAATAAAATTCACTTCTGGAATTAAATATTTTTAATATGCTTAAGAAAGATGTTATAGGAATGGAAAATATAGTAAATAAAAAGTATTATAATTACCCAGTAAAAAACATATTTTCAAGCTTTATAAAAGTCTTTCCAATTAAAATTGTAAGCCAAACTGATTGGAAATCTGTAGAAGTGTTATTTCGAACAAATTCCAAAGATAATTGGGTCACAATGTCTCACCCTTCCTAAAAAATAAACCTGTTCCGCTTCGTTCACTGATCGTGATGGACAACTGGAATCGGTAATCCTCTTAAATATTGATTTGAAATTGGTTAGCTTTAGTTTCCAAACGAATGCACCTATTTCACATGATGATTAACAAATGTTGCACTAAAGTTTTGCCTTTGGGAGCTAAGTATTTTCCAAAATAATAAATCAAATTGCAGTTGAACAATCTAACTTATAAATTCTGGTTCAAATGCATTAGAAAACTTTTAAGTTTAAAAAACACTGATCTAATACGGAATGCTACTCGAATAACTTGAAAATAAACTGAAAATAATGTGAGCCACCTGCACTTAATCATCATCTTGGGTGGGGATTAATACAGCTCATAATCAAGGGGCGGCTGATGCAGTGGATGAGGTAATTCCCCACTCAAAGGGTCCCACGATACCTAAAAAAAGACAACCCACTACACAGAGAAAAATTATGTTAGTATTATATGCACTTTGAAGGTGTTTCATAAAATTTTAAACCAGAGTATCTATTACTATTATTGACTATGAACTATTTTTTATAAAAATACCAAAATTAAAGAACTCGATTAAAATATAATTTCTTTTCAATCAAATTGATACCTTTTTTTTCTGTGTGTTGAAATAAGTAGCGATTCGATTTGCTCGGGGGATACGCATTCCGTTTTCAGGTTGACCAATGGGGGACTTGAGTTTGTCACCCGGCGAAGAAGAGCTTAATTTAGGCATTTCTCTGGCTTTTTCCCTACCTATTACCTCACCATCATCGGCATCTTTGTTTCCCCCATTCATTCGCTTTCTCATGCAAATTGAGACCAATGCGTATCAATAAACCTAAACACTTTACGATCGATTTGAAGATGGTCATTGATTCGGTTTCGATATATGCAAAATTATTCCGTTCTGGAAAGCCTTTGAATTTCGGAGATTTTGTAAGCTTTTGTAAGAAACAATCAGTGAAACAAAAGCAAGTGTGCGATTGCATCGTGTGTGTCAAAAATAATTGCACTTGGTTTTAATTTTGGATTTCTGCCTCTTTTGTTGGCCAAAAAGGCGAAAAAAACCGAAAAAAATCCATTGCAATTGCAGTTGAACAACTTTACGCTCCATTCAGCATTAAAATTACTTTGTGCCACTTTCAAAGCTATTTCTACTGCTACAAAAGCAACTGCTTCTTCGGCTTCTTCGGATTTGATTGTTTTCAGTTTTTTGTTTTATTATTTCTTTTTTTTCCATTGGCAACCACTTGGATTGCCTCCTATGCATTTTTTAGCTTTTTTTCCAGTTGGCAATGGACACTGGAACAGGTGGGATTTGGTGCAATTGCAGCTAAGGGGGTTATACGTATATATAAGAGTATATTCCGGGGAATGTCGCAAAAGTCACGAATGTCACGCATCAAATGGAACACAAACAGAACGTAAAAAAAAGTTGATAATAAAATAAAAGCCACAAGAAAAATTTGCAGACTAATTGATAAGAGCAAGGAATGCAATCGAATGGAACCAAAGAAATTGGAGTTACGGTATCGGAAAAAAGGTTTAAGAATAGTCATAAAGAATACAGTTCTTGGAAACGTTATAGATAAACTGGCATTATAACTAAACCTTTTTTTTATCAGCTTAAACTACCAATTAGCTTGAAAATCTTATATATTTCTCTAGCAGTTCTTTTTCCTCTTTTTGTAGTTAAATACAAAGACAAACCCATTAAGCTTTGAACAAAAAATACCTCACTTGACGATAATTCAAAATGAACAATGGCAATAAAGATTTTTTTATGGCATATTCTGCCGATTTAACACCTGCCGCCGGTGAATTCCACACACCCCCTGTCTCATTAACCCCTGTTGGCATGATGGCGTCGGAAAAAATCGAAAACACTTTCAATACAAATTGCGAAAATATTTGAAATAATTTTTCGTGCCGTCGAACGCGCTTTCCTTTCTTGGCGTAGCCACCTTATAATAGAGGTCTTGACGGGGTGATCTGCGTATGCCCCGGGAATTTTAATCATATTTCTCTTTTCGTACATGCTTAATTATTTGTTTTTACCTCTGTGTGGTTTGTATTTCTCATTTGGCTTTGCCAGCCCCACGGAGGCCAATTTGGTTTCCATTTCGATTCGATTAACGAATCGGGCTGGCCAAGGATCCAAACCGAATCGATGGATACTCTGGATCAGCAAACATTTTCTCTTTGAGCTGAACTTGCTTTATTGGAAATAAAAGTGTAATACCTTCTATTTAAAATTGTTTCCCATGGCCTACCAAAACATTTCAACTCTGTTTAAGCTACGTTTTAGTATGGTATTTAAACATTATAGTGCCTGGGAATTAGAGGTGTAATTTTAAATTTCCCCCCTTTATCTGCGAAGTATAGTATTCCCAACTGCTAGAGTATTTTTATTGCTGGTAATTTTTAGCTTAATTTTTCGGTTTTGGATAGTAAACATTTTGATGTGATTGGATTAGAGTGGAGTGGACTGCAGTGAAGTGGGGATTGGTTCGGATCGGATCGGATCGGATCGATTCCGGGCATTTGGCAGCCACTCAAGCGTCCTACTTGCTGTTGTTGCTGTTGTTGTTGTTCCGCCAATTATTATGGCCAACTGTTTGTCCGTCCTCGGTTGTCCAAAGTCGTTTATTGTTAGTTGTTTGTCGTTATGTGCAGGTTTTTTTTCTTATATAGTTTTCTTGCAATTTCACTTTTGTCTCTGGCCGGATTCGTGGTTCGATAGCTGTCGATGCTTTAAGTTAGGCCTTTAGTTAAGGATCTTCGAGCAGGGCGACAGGGCAGGTAAATCGATCTGGCTTTCACTTTGGATGCATCTCGAAACCAGGATGCAATCAATCCGAGAGATGCGCCTGTCCAAACGGGCAGAAGATACTTTCCACCGGGGACCACACCCAGATCTTCCGCTCATCCAGCAAGTGGAAAACAAACAGCGACCAAATGCCGAATACCATATAGAGATACAAGATACTCGAGCATCTTTCTATCTCTCGGTAGATCTATTTGCCCCCGGGCCCCTCGTACTTCCCTATTTCCATTTCTAATGCCGTTCACTTGAACATACGACCATAAAAAGAACCACAAAGTAAAGAGAAGACAGCACAGACAAATTTGAGCGAAGGGAAGAAATACTAAGGTCGAATTTTAGTTGCTCTATGGAAGCTGTGAAGGTTACAATGTGGATTTATAAAAAAATATATGTAATAACAGTTGTTTAAAAATATGAATATGAAACTCTATTGTAAAAACCTAATTGGGTAGGCGCAGTAAAAGGTTTATTATTAACCAATTATTCGACAATAGGAGTGTGTAATTCGTTGGTGTACTGCCAAATGTATGATTTAAATATTTTAATGTATCTGCAAGTAAGCCAACAAAGTAGTTTATTTGCATTATTATAGTGGGCAGTCCCAGAACTTTTAGGGTATACTCCCTGACTTTCAATTAGCCCGCTTCGAGTCACGTCAACTCGAGAGCATAGTTAAGTATAGTGAGATAAAGTGAAGTCAAATCAAGTCAAAAGCCAGAGACAAAAGACTGTGGCGTGAAGAGGTCTTTGATGTCTAAATCGCGAGACCTGACCCTATATCATCTTTCCTCTGGATGAATCCCCAAAGCCGAAACCCCAGCCGAAAGTCGGTCGTTCTTGAGAGCCGGGCAGAAAATATATCCGAATCTTAAAGTGGCAGACCGAGAACGTATCTGAATCTTAAATGATTTGAGCAATGACCTCAACGTTTGTCTTTTTGTCGTGTGTGCCTGTGCCTGACCGGAATTTCTGATGAGCACTGCGAGGGGATTTGGGAAACAAAGGAATCTCCGAATCAGGGAAAGATATTCCAGAACAGGATCCCGTTTTGCCCCCCCGAGAATGCCCGCTGACCTTGTCACGTCTTTTCAAATATCATAACCTGCATTCCAAGCCATTCAAGCGGGGTTTTTGTCTACGCATTCCCAAGACTTCATTCAGCCAAGAATAAGAACTAAGATACTATGAAGTATCTTGAGGAATGTTCAGACTGCGTTGTTTTCGCATAATTATATCTGTCGCTTTATTGTCTCTGCTGGTTTAAATGGAGATTGATGGCTTTCAAGCGATTCGGCACGAGCTTGGGTCTCTGGGCTCTCGAAAGAGATCTCAAAGATCTGCGATTAAAGCCAAGATCAGCTTGGCATGCTAATTAGCGAATTCCAGTGGGCGGGGGGTGGTTCACTCGAAAGCCCAACTTTTGACATTGAGTGGAGCTCTGAGACCCGTTCGCAGCCTGCTTAAAAACTAGTCTTTAGACCCCTAGTTCATATATTGATTTAGCTCACCTTTTCGTATGTGTCCAATTTTAAATTCAAATTCGTGTTGGCTAAAAAATATGAAATTAATTCAAAACTTTGTTATATAAACCATAAAAAAATGTATAAAAAAATAGTATATGGTACAAAACACGCGACGCGAACTTAAGGATTTATTTTTTTGGCTAAAGGTTTGCTTATTTTTTGGATTGGGTTTTCAATTTCGGTTTCAGTTTGTTTTCGGTTTTGGTTTTGGTTTACCGATTTCACGCACAGTTTGGCCAAAAGCCTAGATCGTATAGGGTGCGACAGAGAGGGTATATACTATGTGTCTCTCCCTCACACTAACTCTCTGATTCTCTGCGATTTTTCTCCGCTCTGCGACTTCGTTGGCTGAGCTCGAACCGAAGACTGGCGGCTTGAATTTCGGGTTGAAGAAAACCGAACGGGCGAAGAAAACCGAAGAGCAAGTCGCGTAGACGAGGTCTTTCGGCCCCACCACCCAAAGTCGTAGGCCCCCTACCCCAACTTAGTTGCAAAGGCCCCCTCTGGTAACCCCTTTTTGTGGTGCGATCGTGCGCCAGGCGACAAAATGTCAAACGATCGCTGGGGATCCTTAACTGGTTTTACAGTTGTAACTCGACGGGGTCTTGAAACACTACGCGTATACCCCATCTTTTTGGGGTCTCGCCTGCCAAAAGTGGTTTTATTTATTTTTAAACCGAAGGGAAGTCAGGTAATAACCAGAAAATAATAATGAATTATATTATACGTTATATTTCGCAGCAATATATATCTCAATATATATATATATACCATTGATCTATGGTATTATAATGTTTTTAATATAATATTATTAACTGTTGGGGTATTGTTCTTATATAAAGCTATAATAAATTGTATAATTTAATATCAGATATAGCTAAATCCCACCTTGGGGTGATATTTTTGATTTTGGTTAATTCTGTCTAAAGATAACTTCAATCCCAAATTACATACAATAATTGGGCCATCCATTCTCTGCTCTTGCGCTTCCTGTCACTCCCGTTGCAGCATCTTTAATGGCTCCTTTCTCCAGCGATTTTCCATTTTCCGCTTGTCCCAATTCCGCCGATGAAGTCCCCAGTGGAGGTATTAAAATTCCGCTTGAAATGGAGCAGAACCAAAGACAGTTCGATGCGATTCTTTCCAATCAAGAGTGCAATTTGCAGTGGAAAATGCGCCAGATGGAATGCATAAAATTGGGAAACGGGATTGGGAATGGGAGTATTAGTAGAATGGGAGCAGAATCGGGTGAGTTGTACCCCTCAATTTTCCTCTGTGGAAAACCAGCAAGGCAAGAAAAACTTTCAGCTTGGCAGAAAAGCGGGCAAAAAGCGGGTGAGAGGCGGATTGGTTCCAATTGCAATTGGCCAAGTTGACCAAAAACCTGTTGACGCTTTAAGGAAAAGCTCAAGTGAAGGCAAGAGAGGAAAATGTACACGCAGAGAAAACAAGGGCACTTTTAAAGATGTTAGATGATGTTTAATATTATATTTTTTGCCCTTAGGCAAGTAAAACAAGTGAATAATTAATAGTGCGTGATAAACAAATCTTTCTTTCTGCCCCTTCAATTGATTTCCAAGAAATTCAAAGAGAAGAGCGGCGCCAAAGGAGTTACCATTTTGCCTGAACGCTCGAGGAAAAACGCGAAACGAGTTTTTCCAGTAGAAGACGGAGGAATCTGGCTCATCCGCAGCTGCTCGCTGAAAGACAGAAAAATCGAAAAAAAAAATCAAAAGAGAGGGGACAAGTGGAGAAGTTGTCAAGAATCTCGAGGCGAATCGATCAATAACCTTTTCATCAAATCCACTGAAGGGAAGCGAAGAAAATAATGTCGAAACTCGGTTGGGATGATTGGGCCTAAGACTGCTGATCCATATCTCAGCAATTGAACTTCAAAAACATTTACAACGAAGAGAGCAGAAGTCATCAAATGCCAAACACAAATAACTGGGCTAAAGTAAATAAGTAAATAAATTTTGGAAATGGAGGTCACCTAAAAATCATCTTATTTATCCAAAAATTAAGTAAAATCAAAGATCAAGTATTATAACCCCTTCAAAATGACATGAAAGCGATGCAACTTTGTACATATATCCTACCTTTATAATTGATTAAAAAATCCAAAAATACCACTACCATCTTATAATCCTCGGTTATCCCAGATATTCCTTTGACTTCCTCAATTTTCGGACTCACCCACGCACAAATATGGCGTTAAAGCGAGGAGTGGGGAAAGCATGAAATTGGCTGTAAATATCTTTCACCCATTGCAAAAGTTGTTTTGGCATTTTTCGAACATGTTCGTTCGTTGTTTTCCTTTTTTACTTGTTTACATTTTTTCACAGCCCGCCAAGTTAGTGGGCAAACTGGTTTTTATATTGCAAATATGTGGGCATGGTTATTATTAAATTGTGCGAAAGCCAGCACCGCTAAAGGGTTGAGGGGTAGGTATAAAAATGCCTGTGGGATTCAAGTTTAAAATCCCTCTGAGATGCGCCTGTCATTTTCGGGCTCCTATGATGAACGATCAACTAAATTTAAAAATCGAGGTGCTGTTTTTGAATTTTCTAATATTCTGCCATAAAATTTTTCTTTTAAACGAGCGTCGAAATTGTAATGCACTTTAATTTTCGATTTTTCCGTATATCTAATGGGTTTTGAGAAAGTGAACCCAAATCTCCAGTTCTAAATTCCATAACTTGGGTAATCGGATACCGTTTTAAAAGTGGAATACCTTTATGAATTTGTGGTCGAATTCTCTAATATTCTACATTAGAATCTTTCTTTTAAACGAGGGTCAACATTTTAACCCATTTTCATGTTCGATTTTTCCCAATTTCCAATGGTATTCAGTAAGGTGACCCAAAACTGCACTTCAAGATTCCATAACATAAGTTATTGGACTCCGATTTTGAAGTGGGATACCTCTATGAGTTTGAATTTAAATTTCCCAACAATCTACATTAAAATATTCCTTTTCAAAGAGGGTCCAAATTTTGACCCATGTTCATGTTCGATTTTTCCCCATTTCCAATGGTACTCAGAAAGGTGACCCAAAACTGCACTTCAAGATTCCATAACTTGAGTTATTGGACTCCGATTTTAAAGTGGGATACCTCTATGAGTTTGTATTTAAATTTCCCAACAATCTACATTAAAATATTCCTTTTCAAAGAGGGTCCAAATTTTGACCCATGTTCATGTTCGATTTTTCTCAGTTTCCAATGGTACTCAGAAAGGTGACCCAAAACTGCACTTCAAGATTCCATAACTTGAGTTATTGGACTCCGATTTTCAAATGGGATACCTCTATGAGTTTGTATTTAAATTTCCCAACAATCTACATTAAAATATTCATTTTCAAAGAAAGTCAAAATTTTGACCCATGTTCATATTCGATTTTTCCGTATTTCCAATGGCTTTCAGTGTGGGAACCCAAAACTGCACTTCCAGATTCTATAACTTGAGTTGTAGAACTCCGCTTTTGAAGTGGGATACCTCTATGAATTTGTGGTTAAATTAACTAATATTTTACATTAACATATTCCTTTTCAAAGAGGGTCCAAATTTTGACCCATGTTCATGTTCGATTTTTCCCAATTTCCAATGGTATGGTAAAGGTGACCCAAAACTGCACTTCAAGATTCCATAACTTGAGTTATTGGACTCCGATTTTGAAGTGGGATACCTCTATGAGTTTGTATTTAAATTTCCCAACAATCTACATTAAAATATTCCTTTTCAAAGAGGGTCCAAATTTTGACCCATGTTCATGTTCGATTTTTTCCAATTTCCAATGGTACTCAGAAAGGTGACCCAAAACTGCTCTTCAATATTCCATAACTTGAGTTATTGGACTCCGATTTTGAAGTGGGATACCTCTATGAGTTTGTATTTAAATTTCCCAACAATCTACATTAAAATATTCCTTTTCAAAGAGGGTCCAAAATTTTACCCATGTTCATGTTCGATTTTTCCCAATTTCCAATGGTACTCAGAAAGGTGACCCAAAACTGCACTTCAAGATTCCATAACTTGATTTATTGGACTCCGATTTTGAAGTGGGATACCTCTATGAATTTGTGGTTGAATTCCCTAATATCTTACATTAAAATATATCTTTTAAACGAGGGTCAAAATTTTAACCCATTTTCATTTTCGATATTTCCGTATTTCCATTGGCTTTCAGTATGGGAACCCAAAACTGCAGTTCCAGACTCTATAACTTGAGTTGTAGGACTCCGATTTCGATGTGGGATACCTCTATGAGCTTGTATTCAAATTTCCCAACAATCTACATTAAAATATTCCTTTTCAAAGAGGGTCCAAATTTTGACCCATGTTCATGTTCGATTTTTTCCAATTTCCAATGGTACTCAGAAAGGTGACCCAAAACTGCTCTTCAATATTCCATAACTTGAGTTATTGGACTCCGATTTTGAAGTGGGATACCTCTATGAGTTTGTATTTAAATTTCCCAACAATCTACATTAAAATATTCCTTTTCAAGGAGGGTCCCAATTTTGACCCATGTTCATGTTCGAATTTTCCCAATTTCCAATGGTACTCAGAAAGGTGACCCAAAACTGCACTTTAAGATTCCATAACTTGAGTTATTGGATTCCGATTTTGAAGTGGGATACCTCTATGAATTTGTGGTTAAATTCTCTAATAATTTACATTACATATTACATTTCCATATTTGGACCACTATTTTCAGGATTTTGTTCACAAAATCTAAGATTTTAGGTTGACTTTTGAGTTTTAAATAAGTTGTCTTCATTATTTTCTTGCTTGCTACTTTTCATTTTATTAACTTTTTATAAATGTATTTGTTTCACTTAAGTAATGTTTTTCGGCTTTCACAAGTTTTAAATATTCACAGAACAGCTTACAATATTAAAAAAAAAGATAGTATCCAGGTTGAAAATCTTTTGGACTTGGAATCCTACCAGCTGCCTGCGTAGGCATTTGCAGAGGCCTTGGCGTAGGCGTTATTGCCACCTCCGCCACCACAGGAATGGCAGCCACCACCTCCTCCTCCGGAGGCCCAGCTATTGGCACTGCTGCTGGCGTAGGAGCCACTGCCTCCGCCGCCTCCACCGCCACCACCACCCCACTGGGAAGGTGCTCCGCCGCCGCCACCACCCCATTGGTTATGTCCTCCTCCGCCGCCTCCTCCATTGTGGCCACCTCCACCACCTCCTCCCCACTGATGGCCACCGCCTCCACCGCCACCGCTGTAGACTGGCTTGACTACATAGACATCTATGGTTCTGCCGCCTCCGCCGGGGTGGCCACCGCCTCCTCCTCCGCCTCCGTGATATCCGCCGCCACCTCCACCGGGATAGCCACCGCCTCCTCCGCCTCCGTGGTATCCTCCTCCGCCATTGTAGCCGCCTCCTCCGCCTCCATTGTAGCCTCCTCCGCCGCCATGGCCTCCACCACCTCCACCTCCCCAGCCGATTCCACCGCCACCACCGAATCCTCCACCACCTCCAATTCCTCCACCGCCACCGAGTCCTCCGCCGCCAAAGAGCAGCTTCTTCTTCAGTTCGAGCAGATGGGGAGTGCCGAAGTCCACGCAGCTGGCCAGGATTAGCAGCCAAAAGGCAAAGAGCTGCCAGTGCCTCATCTTAGTTGAGTAGTTGATATTGGAGTTCCGGTTCCGGTTTAAGATAATGCTGATGCTGATGCTGCTCCAATCCGTTCTATTCGAGTGCAATGCTGGTGGCTAACTAGTCGTCAACCTGTAGGGTGCATCTTTATATATGACACCCATTGTTTGACGCTGCATCGTTGTCGTCATCACTGGGAGCCATCGGATTCTCTCAGGCGATCGGGTTTGAACAGATAGGGGGAGTTACTTATACAACAATAACGTTGGCCGGCGGGCATTAAACATTAATTACTCAATGGGTCAGTGCAGATACTAAAATCGGGGACTTACCAATGCCCTGACTAGTTCTACAAAGTTCTACCTTTGAACCCATGCTCTTCAACGAGTTGTATCATTCTTAAATAGTTTTCTTAAGCTGTGCCCTCCAGTTTTCTATCCCTCTCTTTAAATATTATTTGGGTTAAGTTACATTAATCAGAGAATATATTTATATTCTGGTTTTAGCATAGCTACTGTGTGAATAAATAGTTTGAACCGCAAATTGTGTGGTTAACCGCAGAATATATTAATAATGAATTGAACATTGTAACAGTTTTTAATTGTATTGTACTGTATAGTACTTATAAAATCCAATCAAGACAGATATATAAATTAATCCTTTACAGGATTACCCATCGTATAATATAATTTCGATATTGTAATAGTACTGGAATGTAAAGATTACGCATACGCAAGGTGTACCCGAAATCGGGGAGAGTATGAGCAATTATATGCATGACATCTGCTGGAAAATCCCTCTTACTCATCTGCTAAATAGGAGAGAATCGGACAGAGTGGTGAATAAATCAGGGGGAGATAGAACAAGTGTATCTAACCTGGCCTTATTTTTACAAGGGTCAACTAAGATGTAACTCGGATCATTAATTGTCCAGAAGTCTGATGATAGAACATCTTCATATGCCAAGGTTCTTTTTCTGTAGCCAATTAAGTACATTCAATGTAAGCGTATTCCGACTTCGTTAAGATAAGTAATTGTTTTCATTCTAAACTCATCAGTATGTGAGAAGCAATTGAAAAGCTGAGCTGCATAACTATATTTTAGTAAGCTCGAAAAATCCCCTGAACCGAAGCAGGTGCCTTAAGGAAGCCCCAATGAAAATGCGGATGCTTTCCAACTGGCTGGAAGTCCCAAGTTTCCTGGGCTTTCAATAGAGGCAATCCGGGTCGCAGTTCAAGCAATACATGATTCAATATCTTTTCGTATTCTCACCCCGTTTGTTAAGATATGAAATTGAGAAAGACCAAACCTACAAACAATTTAACATACAATAGTAACCAGTAGTTTTATGCAACGCGCCAAAGTTTGATATTTGGCGCCCTTTTTTAAAAATTTGAATATTTTGTTACTAGGCTGATAAATACAAAACGTATTGCTTGTTATCATGTTTTACCAACTCATAATCGATAGTATCTGAGCTTTAACATTTACATAGCCACCGGAGTAATAAAGTTTAAATACCTTTTAAAGTCTAGTCTGCTGAAACTACTATATATTAATTAATTTTTCTCTCTTATTTCTTACAGGGCACAAAACCATTGGAACTTCTCTGCATTTTATGGCCGACCTTGATAGCCCCCCGATGCCTTCGACTTTCTCCTGCTATAAAAATCCAGAAGATGGGGGAGCAGGGCAACAAACATTAAAGCAAACAGAACGTACGTCTCGAGTGCCAAGCACTTCAATTGAAGCACATGAACCTGGAATTCAGCCTACCATGGCAGCCAAGAGCTCCATTAATTGGATATTCAAATGCATGCACTGATTTTGTAAATTCAATTAAAATAAACCTGTTAGTTTAAGTTCTATGTACTTGAACAAATTTATATTTCATTAACTGTAAGTTAATTCAAGTTCTATATTTTGTAACTACATATACATAACAAAATAAAACAAACTACATATTTTCTTATTGAAGAATATTTTGGGTGATGCCTAAAAGTGTGCTGTAGTTTAAATTTTTGCATAAAAATATTGTGGCATACTTTTGGGCTGCCGCATATATGACCTGCAATGTAATTTTTGTTGCCTACACTTGGGGGCAGCTGGAAATTCAGATTCCACAGTCGACCTACTGGAATTTCTGTTCGCCTGGTACTTCAAATCGGAGAATCTCCCAATTTGCCCGACAAAATTGACCACAACTCGGATCGAAATTTACCAAAAACCAAATTTCTCGCTTTTTGATACCAGGCGAACATAATATTTAGCAAGTGGCTGCTGGGCATTAACATTGAATTCAAATGCATACTTTATGGACTATTTGACTATTGAATTATGTTAAAATTTTTTTTTTATTTAGAAATTGATCTATTTAATTGAATATGTTATGAATTTTGATTGTTAACAAATCACATTAAATTTTAAAATTAGGTAATTTTTAAATTTTAGGTTCAGATTAGAGATGAGCAACTCGTTGTTCTGGTCACAAAAGGCATGCAAGATTTTAGGTTATTTTGTAAATTTATATAATCTTGACCTTGCACACGAAATAAAAAAGGTTTAGAATTAACAGTTTTGGGTACATTTATTTAATATACAAATTGTGTGTTTCAGGCAAATGCCATTTGCTACATAGTCTCATGCTTAATTTAGTAACAGTTCTGTGGGGCAGGGTAACAAAATAACAAAAAAAATAAATGCTTCTTGGATATGTACAGTATTTACAAGAGTGGACGCGGATTGCCTCGATGGTGGCTTCCTGGGATTCCAGGCTGGGATTAGGCCCAACCTCCGGCGGGCTGCCAACCGCCACCGCCGCCGCCTCCGCCGGAGGACCAGCCTCCTCCTCCGCCACCACCGCCTCCGTGGCCACCGCCGCCGCCTCCGGAGCTCAGCTTGATGATCTTGATGACCTTGGTGCCGCCGCCGCCGCCACCTCCGTGACCACCACCTCCTCCGCCGCCTGATGACCATCCTCCGCCGCCGCCGCCTCCTCCTGAAGACCAGCCACCTCCTCCTCCACCACCGCCATGTCCTCCTCCGCCGCCGCCAGCGGATCCCAGGCTTATAATTTTGATGAGCTTAACATCGCCACCGCCGCCGCCGCCTCCATGGCCACCACCACCTCCTCCTCCGGATGACCAACCACCTCCTCCTCCGCCGCCTCCAGAGGACCAGCCACCACCTCCTCCTCCGCCGCCGCCAGAGGACCAGCCTCCTCCACCTCCGCCACCGCCGCTCTCCGTGATCACTTTAATGATCTGCACATCTCCTCCACTACCTCCGCCTCCATGGCCACCACCACCTCCTCCTCCGCCGCCAGAGGACCAGCCTCCGCCACCGCCGCCTCCTCCTCCGCCGGAGGACCAGCCTCCTCCGCCGCCGGGCTTCGGCTTGGCCGTCACACTGGCCGCTCCAATGAGCAAGAGACACACAAAGGCCTGAAACGTAAGAGAACACTCCATGAGAATCACTTGAAAAAAATATGTGAGAACACGCTGCGCATGCGTAATATTTTTAGATAAGTAATATTCTATGGCTATCCTGGCGATAACGAACGACGAGCCGTACTTTCATCGCTTGGAACGCTCCGTTTGGGTTAACTAGTGGGTTAAGTGCGAATCCACAACTGACATGACCACCGATGGCAGCCAGAGTTTTTATACCAAACCACAGGCAACATAACATTAACCGGAAAAGCTTCGCTCTGCCAGAAAGCAAAAGGAAAAACCGTTTTCCACGCTCACCGTGTGGTTGGCAGATGTTGGAGGTACTGCTGGGGCACTGCGAAAAATAAGATACATTGGTATGGTAATTGATACGGTTGTTTTTTGTATGTTTGGAGTCACGTACAAATTAATTCCTTGATTAAGGGATCTCGTATACCATTTAATTACTTGACTATAAGCTTAGTATGTTTCTTTGAACTATAATAAATCATTCTGGACATCCAGATATGTATTTCTAAAAGCATATTCTAACAGTTTAAAAAGAGATCTAAGAATATACTTGAACTTACTATTATTTGGCACCCCAAAGTTTCTATCTCAAATCCGATCTATTAGATATTTACTAAATTTGTTCAATTATTAAAAAGACTTAAAAGTGCCGAAGTAAATCACTCGGTTGTACAAGATATATATTCCTAAAATGAACGTCTACTTAACCCTTTTCCAGGGATATTTTAATAGTATACTTGGCACCTCAAAATACTTATGTTAACTCCGATATATTAAGTATTTAATAGATATTTCATTGATTTATAAGTAAATCATTCTGAACTTTGAGAATGGTATATATTTCTTAAAGGAAACCCAATTATCAGGTATAATTTATATCCTGAACTTACTAATATTGGGCACCTAAAGGTGGTTACATTTAATCCCATAGGTTAAGTATTTACTAAATATTTGATGGATCTTCGATTTTTTGTAATAACAAATAATACTACTAGGTATTTTATCTCAGTGCACCTGGGGGAGCCACTACATTGGCGCAATGTGGGCCAAATGCTGCCGCATCATCGTCGCGAAGTCGCCATTAGTCAGGGGGGCGGACTCAGGCGATGGGCCTTACTTTTGGGATCTTTTAGTGTTGCGACGTTGGGATGGGGTGGCAAAAGGCAGCAGGCAGCGGGCGAAAGCTGCAGTGCAGACAACTCATAACTGCAACTCCATTCGATTGTCGCATCTGCAACAGTTTGTAGTCGGCCAGCGATTTGTTTGTATAGCAAATGCGCATCTCCCGCCAGACAAGTTGCTGCTGCACCTTTCCCATTGCATAATCCGCAGCAGCAAATGCAACTGCAGCAGCAGCAACATCAGGCCAACTTGCAACTTGCGGCGCTGTACAATTGATGCCATTATTTGATTTGCATCTGCATCTGGGGGATATCGCTGGCAATTTGGCCCAAAACGATGACAAAGCCCGGCGGCGGAGGCGATCAAACTGGCCAGTGCCAGTCGATCCATCATTTTGGGCGTGACGAAGGCGGATTCGTTGCAGCCACGAGTCGCAGGAAACCAGAAAATTGCCGCAGCAAAAATGCCAATTCCAAAACATGGTCAAAAAAATGTCCAATTCGTTAGGCTGGGATTAAGATGAAGATCTATGGAGGAAAAGTGCCATATGGTAATTTTTCAAGTTGATCAAAGGAAAAATTAACTACTATATTAGCAAAAAAGCAATTAAATGTCCACTTACACATAATCAGTAGCTCATTAAAATAAGATTTATATCTAATACAATACTCTTTTTTAATGTACCTTCAGCAACAATGATTAAGTGTTACGTAAGCCATTATTCAGTTTTTTAATTACCCACAGACAAGGGTGTAAAAAGTGGGACATCCTTTTTAGCATAGGTGCGAAATTTTATTGTAAAAGCCATCACCATAAATTCGATTTATGCAACATCTTTGATTTTTACATTGTCTGCAACACATTCGAGGAAATAGATTTCACTATTTTAATTTTAAAACAAAATAGGCAACAACAAAAATTATAGAAAATAAATTTATGACCTACTTTAAAAGAAAACCTCAAAAAAAAATGTGAGTAATTGAAAAGAGATATATAATGCAACCTCACAAAAGTGAGATTTGCTTATCTAACACACTAAATATGGATCATTCAGTGACTTAACTTCAACTTTCAAACCTAAACACCTGCATACCTATATATTGCAGATGTTTTTTCAGCTCCCGTAAAATGCAATTAACATGCGAAAACTCCTCCCTTCCGCTCCCTCATTAAGATGCCCTGCAAAAAGGGGGCGTATTTCGGGACATTTTCGGGGGCGTGGTCACACTTTACTAATTGCAGATGGCACCAGACGAAAGTGCAATTTCAGCGGTATAATAAACCCCGCATCAGCATCTCTTACACAACTTGCAAACTCATCCATAGATATGGAAATCGGTGGAAAGGGGCAGATGACACATGGAAAAGGGGCACAAAGGCGGCTAAAACAAAGTAAACAAAACTGGCGTCAATTGCAAACGACCCAGACGCGAATTTCCAATGCAAGTTGCAAGTTGCTGCTGTCGCCGCCAGTTGAAGTTGCACATTGCAAGTGGCAAGTTGCCAGTTGCCAGCCGAAGACGCAACATCGCAGCCCCAAAAACGAGCTGAAGGTGAGCGAAAAGGGGGCGGATGGCGATCCCAGATCGTTGGATATATCAAACTCCTAAGCAGCAGACAGCTGATGACTCAGATGGGGGATCGTTTAAGATGGGATCACTGCCATAATGGTTGGCCAAACTCCTTTTGATCGCCTCCATAAATCTCTGTAAAACAGAAAATGCCAAAATTATATTTCTGTGAATACGTACCGGCAAATATCAGATTAATATAGGGGTTTTTTTCTTTTGAAGACGGGGCCTCGAGCCACATGCAACGAGGAAGCGCAGCAACCTCGACCCATGGCAGGTCTCCATTTGGGCCTCCTCCGCCTCCAACCTCCAGCTGCAGACCTCCGCTCCATGGAGCCGCCAGTTTTTGTAGTGTACTGGAGCAGCGGGTCAACGTTCCGCGGGCTTAGTTTAAATTACAATGCAGCTCAATGCTCGAAGCTCAAAGGAAAACGTGTTTTCTGCCTCTATGAACTTTATGATACTTTTGGTTTTGGTGTGTGCCGCATGTCCACTCCTCCCTCCCATTATTTCCCACATTTCGGCGTGTAATTTTCGTATCGAAGCTGGGTTTTCAACCAGCAAGACAAAAGCACTCAGTGGATCAGGCCAGACAGAGACAGAGACCTTCCAGTTTCCGGATCGTTGCGTCAGCGGGTTTCCTGCTTCGATGGGCCGGCCAAATAAATCAGCAAATCGAGAGCCACCGCATCCTGCCAAGTGGTTACGAAACTACTGATCATCCTCATCCTTTCTCCATTGGGTCACATCCCCAATAGAGGCTCACTTTGTCGTACACTTTTTGGTTTATTCAATAGTTATGCATAGGTTCGTTATCGTTAGTAATTAGGTAATTTAATTAAGTTTAAAGTGATGCTCTCTGTTTACATTGCATGGGGGTTCTTCATCATCATCATCAGTTGTCCTAAATTGTATAATTCATTTGTAATCTCTGCTCTCTCGTTTCGTTAAATATTCAATTGGTTAATTATTGCAAACGTTACACGAGTATATATACCATACATATATAGAGAGAGAGAGAGGGTTGTACGTACAATTAACGCTTATAATGCTTAGACCTAGGCATATGTATGTTACGATATATTATAGCTATGAGTATCCAGCCCAGAATTGAACTATTTATAGAGCAAAAAAAGAACAGCACTCAAAAAAAAAAATATATAGAGTATTAGGGTTTTTGGGGTGTTACGAGTAGTTAAAGATAATTTTCTATGCGAAGACTAGACTGATTGATCGCTTTATACAGAGCACGCTCTCTTGACTAGACATGCGATGACTAGATGACTAGATGGTCGATGATCGATGGTTGGATAGACGAGTTCGAGTCCGAGGGGTTCCCATTGCTCCTCCCTACGTTAGCAACACCTTTCAGGTACTTGGAAAACATCCTCTTGGCGGGGCAAAAGGAACCCTAACTTTGGGATGGGCAGTAAGCAGTGGGCGGTCAGCAGTCAGGAGAGCTGCGATGCCCGGGCGGGGATACGGCAGGTCACTCGCTCAATCCGGGCGAGATCATGCCGTCTATGGGCTCCAGCTATTGTTCCATGATGATCGTGTCCTCGGACTTCACGTTGCCGGAGTTGATGGCCTCCATGGCCTTGCTCAGCAGGGTGGCGTCCTTCAGGCTGACCACCTGCACCAGCTGGGGCTCCTGGCCGGGGCCGCCCTGGATCATCATCTGGTGCATTCCCGGCGACATGGTGATGGTCTCCAGTTGGTCGCCGTTCTCCACCTGTTTGGGGAAAAAAGATAGTTTACAAAATTAGTATAATTCTGTATTAATATATATTTATATATAGGTCGAGGGCTCCGTCAATATTCTTCAGTCTCTCTATCTGGTGAAAAAGAATACAAAAATAAAGCATAAAAAGTATAAGATATAATAGCAAAACATACTCACACCAACTCAATGAAAAATCAGGTCTTGCAAATAAGATGTGGGGTTAATAATAAATCAAAAAATAATCATAATATTCAAATTCGTTTGCTGGCTTTATTTAGCGTTTCAGCTTACATCATATACTAGCAAAAATTCAAAAGTAAAATTATAATAAAATCACAACAACAAAAGATTTATTCAATAAAATTTGTTGGCTTCTCAATCTTTCCTTTTTGCACTTCACTTAGCCTGTTTAAACATAAAATTTGGTCTAAAACAATTCAAATAATTGCGATATATATATAAAAATCAAACATTTAAACACAATAATAATGGTAATAGCAATAATGAATCGGATAAAACACAATAGCAATAATGGTAATAGTTATAGATCAACATAAAATTAATTTTGCACGCATTTCGAGGTGAATATATCGAATATCCCCTCCATATTGTTATATGTATATAGCACATATATTTCTCCCACTAAAGCTATGTAAACTAGCTCCAATGGCAAACTCATTTCCCCGCTTTGGCGCATTTTCAATGCGAATTGACTACGTTTCGTATTTTAGGGTGGGTCGAAAAAGGTGGCTTTTGAGGAGGAGCTAAAATTCACGAGGTGACAAGTACGTCTAGGCTAGAACTAGAACATCTAGGCTGGCTGATCCCTGTTTGCTTTGCTACTTACTGGCTAGAACTAACCCAATTGTACAACTTAAATTGGTTAATATTTGGTTTGTGTTGCGCTCTAAGCAAGATTTTTTGCACGATTATGTATGTACTCCACTACTTAACTACTAAACAAAGGGCTAAAACTAACAAATGTTAAATGATTTGTAGCTCTGTTAACTAGGAACAATTTCAGTTATTGATTTTTAGTTTTGATTTAACGCTCTCGCTGTGTGTTTTTGGTTTTCGGTTTCAATTATCAACAAATATTTTTTGGTGTTCTCTTTTCGGTACTAAATTCAATTCGTATAGTTAGTATCTGAGGTTTTTCCTTGGCTCTACTATGTTTTTTTTTTTTTGGGTTTTTGGCATTCACATTGTGCGTGTCTAAGTTTAAATGGCAAGTGCATTCGTGCGTTTCCTTCTTATTCTGCTAGGTTCTCATAGATTTTGTGTGTTTTGTGCAAAGCCGCATTTGACTAGATTCGAGATGGGCTGGATTCTTGGATGGGGGACCCTACTCCAGGTGCTCCAGCTTGATGGCCGGCAGTTGGATCTGCACACTGGTCAAACTGGCGCTGTCCACACAGCGAATGGAGGAGGAGTTGCCGGAGGAGCAGCTGCTGTCGCCTGCCTTCAAATGGGTTCTACTCTTTGAGGAGGCATTCGGTTTCCTACGCTTCTGAACCATCACTACCCCGCCTCCTCCGGCGGCAGCTCCATCTGCTCCACCTCCTCCTCCTCCACTAGCCACGCCCCTCCTGGTGGTCCTCGTGCTGGCCACCTGCGGAATACTGGGCGCGGCCAGAACTATGGGCATGGGCATGGGCATCTTTATGCTATTATTGTTATTCGCCAGGGTGCTATTATTGTTGTTGAGCTGCCCGAAACTGCTGGAGCTGGTGGTGCTGCTACTGGTGGTGGCCGTGGCCAGGTAGTAACGCCCCCCGGGAGCTACCTGCTGGCCCACTAACGCACCACTGCGACGACCTAGGACCGCTGATCCCGTCGAGATCAGCGAGTAGCACTGAACGCCGCCATTTCCCGCCAAAGAGGATGAGGAGCTGGCGGCAGTGGTGGTGGTGCGATTGGCACTCGTATCTACCTGCATGGGCGCCAGGCACACCGTTCCATCGCTGTTCGTCTGGATCTGCTGCATGTTGGCCATCACGGATTGGTACATGGAGACGGGCACCGAGATCACGTTGCTCACCGAAACGGGATAGCCTATTGAGAAAAAAAAAGGGAATTTTATTATCAATTATTAGATAAATTTATCTCCTGAGTTAATAAATACCTTGACCATCTTCGGTGGTGATATATATTTGGCCATCCTGCGTTTCGGTGAGATCCACGGTCATGTTCTCATGTCCATTGACATCGGTGAGACTCTGAACCGTCTGAATGGTGGCACCGCCTTCGCCCTGGTGGAGCTGTATCAAATAATGATCAAATTAGATATCGTATATATATGGATCTCAAAATGGACTCACCGTGGCAACACCTTGGACCTGGGCAGTGGTTCCATCCGGCAGTGTGATGATCGGGTTATTGGGATCCACCTGGATCAGCGACACGGTGCCATCGGCATTCTGTGAGAGCACCGTTTGCGTGGTGTACTGTATACAAAGAATTAGTCCAATTAGTTTCAGAATATCATAAGTATGAACAACAATAAGCATTGTAATAACACTACATAACACTACAAAAAATGCATAAATAGCAAGCAATAATTATTAGGCATAAATTAATGGTAAAAATGTAATTGTTGTTTGTTTTTAGAGTGACAAAAGTCGTATTTACATGTGGGTGCAATTGTTCGATTTGTAGTGGATGCAAATAATGATGGAAATAACCAATAACTCGATAACAACCAGCTGCAACAGAAGTTCAAACAAACAAAACAAAAAATCAGGTTAAATGGAATAAATCAAGAGGATCATTGGGGCAACAACATCAAGGATTAACAATATATAGCAGCAAAAACAGAAGATTGAGCCAAAACAATATTCAGTGAACGGAAAAAGTGGGGCAAAAGGGTCAGGACTAGTAAGCTATGCACAGAGGTTCCTCAAACATTACATATTACTCTTTATTTGCTAATTTCAAGAACAAAACGTTCTTAAAAATATCTGTATGTGAACTTGAAGTACCAAAAACTTCTTGAACAAATTTAAGAAAGTTAGTCTTTCAAGATATTTGTATTTCCTTATTATCTGTCCTCAAATCATTGTGTACAATCTATATCTTTAAAAATTTTTTAGTGTAACTAGAATTTAAGTTCTCATGTTCAAGAATAGAATTGACGAACTAGGAATATTTGAAATAGGCAAAAGCCCTTGAAATTTCGCAAAATGAATATCCCCATTCGACATGGACACCCAGAGTGCATAGTCTGACAAGTCCCGATCCCCATCCCGGCTCGATTAGTGGGCACAACGGCAATTCATAGGGCAATTCATCCGGATTAGTACGAACATCAACGTCGCTGAGCGTAATGGGCTCGATGCAGACTTGGGCATTGGCGATCTGCTGGGCAGTGACCGTCTGGTTGCCACTCGACTGGGAGTGCGAGTGGGCCTGGGCCTGCGAGTGGGCGTGCGAGTGGGAGTGGGCCTGTGCCTGGGCCTGGGCCGCACTTACGGCGGCGGCTGTCGTCGGCACTGCGGTGGCCGTCGCCGTTCCACTGGCCGTGGTCAGCTGGATCGTCTGCGGTTGCCCGCCGGCCACCGGCTGGATGTGCACCGTGCTGGGCAAGTGGGTCTGGTGGTGCTGCTGCTGCTGGTGGTTCTGCTGGTGGTGCTGCTGCTGTTGCTGCTGCTGCTGCTGCTGAGTCGGCGCCTGGCAGATCTCGATCTTCGTGGAGGCGGGCAGCGTGGCCGTCGTGGTCACATGCTGGTTATTGGTGCTCTGGATGATCGTAGGAGCCGGCGTGTTGCTCTGGGCCGTGTGGGTGGTGATCACCGTGCCCGCACTGTTGATCTTCACCACGTTCACCTGCTGCGGTTGCTGTGATGAGGATTCGATGCGAATTGGTTGATGGATTAGTAATGTGATATATGCGTTGCCAAGTGCCGGGTGCGGATTAGTAATGGGTGTGAGTTATCCCAGGAAAATGCCAAGCAATGTAAGGTCGTTGGAATCCGACCACTGGAGATTATTAACCCAATAAGATAGTTTGTTGTTCTCCCTAGGAATATCCTTTTTATCCCGAAAAACCCCAACCGAAACCCCAAACAGACCCTTTGGCATACTCACATTGCTGTTGCCCGTCGGCGGCGTCATGGTCGTAACCGTGTGGATGGTGGGAGGATTCGATAACTCCATGTCCTCGTCCTCGTCTCCCGATTGCGAAATCAAAGCATTGACCTTGTCCTCGTCGTCGGCAAAGGTGGGCAGCAGGTCCTCCCTTCCATGGTACTTGTAGCAGTTGATCACAATCTTGCGCAGCGCATGCGTCCAGCTGATCTGAAGTGGGAGAACGACATGAACATGATTAGTACGATCCAATAGAGATCGGGGGCGGCTGTTGGAACACCCACCCCACCCACCTTCTGCTTGTCGTCCTCGGAGCGGGCATCCATCCTCACATTGGCCCAGGGCAGCTCCTTTGGCCACCAGGGCGGTCTAGTGGACTCTCTTCCCCAGCCGGGCTTTCCTCGTCCCGTGGAGTACTTGAGCATCAGCGGGATAAAGGCTCTCAGCTGGGCCTGGGTCATCTTCTCCACGGGCGTGGGTATCCCATCGATGACCAGGCCGGGCAGTTCGAAAAGCGACGGATCATCTTGGGGCGGTGGTGGCGCCTGCTGGGCCAGTGCATTGTCCAGTTCGTCCATCACAATGTTCTTCAGGTTCCGCAGCACATCCTCCAGCGGTTTGGCTCCAAAAACCTTGTAGCTAGTGTTGGGTTTACCCGGTGTGGCCACCAAAACGACCGCCTGTTTGCCCACCCTGCCGGTAAACTCATAGATGATCCCTCTCAGCTTGCGTAGCAATCGATTCTGTTGCCTTTTCCTAACCGAGGGATTCGTTTCGAAGCAATGGGGCCGCTTGCGTTTCTTGGAACTCGCAATGGCCGCTGCTGCTGCCACGCCCACTGGTCCTGCGGCCGCCAGCTGGTGGGCCACATCATCGTTGACGGGCATGGAGCCCAGATCTCCCTCGTACAGGCTGCCATCGCTGCTGATCAGATCCTCGTCGTCGTCCTCGGAGCCCAAGCTCTGGATATCCTCGTCCAGCATTTCGATCTTGTAGGTGGTTCCGTTGCTTTGGGAACTGTTGCCAGCACTTTGCAACTGGCCGCCACCGCCTCCTCCGCCGGTCGTTGTGATGGTGGTCACATTGAGACCGCTTCCCGAACTGCTGTTCCCCACAGGAGTTCCTCCGCCACCGTTGCCCCCATTCGAGGAGTTGCTCCCCGAGGAGGTGGTGGTCACCACCACATTGCCAGTCGTACTCCGGCTGCCCGCCGGCGCCACAACCAGCCGATAGCTTGTGGTGGCCAGTTTGGCGGTGGGATTCCTCCCTGCTCCCTGCTGCTGATCCTCTCCTCGCCTCAGACCCTCTTCACTGGACTTCCGAAGGTCTTATTCGCATGCGCAGTGTGATAAGAGCTGTTTGGAGAAACGAAGACAGAGGGGAAAGTCAGAAAATAATTCTCAGGTCTCTGATAACAAACTACATTATTATACGAGGAACAGGGCGAGAAAAACAAGGGGAACCCTAGAGACCCATAGTTACCCAGCACCTTCTTTAGGAAAAATATTTTATATTCATAAGCTTCCTTTACAAGTTTATAGAAACTAGACACAAGTAAATGTTAACATTTTAGATTTAGTTTTTGAATACCCATGGAAGCTGTAACATCTGGAGTTCTACAAAATGGTGCAATGTTATGGCACACGCCGTGAGTATTAGAATATTTATAAAGCTTTGCACCCCAAGCTGAAACGAGTTTCGTAAAGGGGTTGATTACGCCAACCAGTCAACAATGTATGAGTTTCAAAATATACCCCTATATCACCGGGAGTACAGGGTATACCAGCGACAACAGAACTTGGATCGCTTTTTTCTGCTGATAAGCGACAAGTGAATCAGGTCAAAAGCGCGCATGCGCAACACCACAAACGACAATAATAGAACAACAAAAGCGAACAATTCAGAGTTTTATAACGCAGCCCCGGCAACAATATGTACCCGTATACCATATATACCAAGGTACATATGCACAACTGTTTGTAATTCGAGCGATCCGCAGTCGCAGATTAGCGCCGTCGACGTTTAAGTCGCTTTTTTATTCGTAGGGCCCCAATGGATCGGATCGGATCGTATCGGTTGGGTTCGGGAGCCGATAAACGGCGAGAACTTGGGTACATAAGTGTACTGTATGTAAATAAATATGGGGGTAAGGTGAGCAAAAGGCATGCATGTGGCACAGGTAGCTCGGAAAACTGAAGAAGACTGACCCTGACACAAACCGAAAGATACAGGATTGGACTCACGTTACTTCTTTGTATCTCTATCTTTTTGTTTTTCTGCTATCTGGTTCTGTTTAAGACCCTATCTTATTGCGCCAGGTTACCCCAATCTTTTTTGCACACTCATCGTACTCTTTTTTATTATTTATTGCAAAGGAAAATGTAAAATACCACTAGGAACATTATATTTATAATTGTTTTAAAATAAATCTATAGGTAATTTATTTAAATGAATAAATACTCATTGTTTATTACCTAAAACATTTTAATAATGTGTGTGTACTATCTCAACTCATCTATAACTATTAGCTTTTGACTATATTGTTTTTTCACATTTGAAAAATATTAGACAAACACCAATCTCGCGCTCTCATTGCTTTATTCTCCCCGTTTCTGAGCATGTGCATTCTACGTTCTCGATTCTCCAGTGCGCAGAATCCCCAAGCTTCTTCTGCTCCCGCACAGATTTGCAATCTAGCCTCTCTTTCTTTCCGAGTATAGCCCTCTCTTTCGCTTTCTTGGGGGCCGTTGCACGTGCGCACTGATATAGAGTTCAAATTTTGGGTACTTGCTTTTCGACCGACTAAGCACTTATTTTAAGTAAAATTAAGGTTTATCAATTGTTTTTTATGGTTTCTGCTTGCCTCAGGGATTTTTAAGTGACGTGTAGTGGTGGGCAAACCAACTGGGGATTTGGTATATTTTCTTATTATTTTATATTTTTTGAATTCTTTTTAGCTACTACTCGTCTATTTGCGGTTACTTTTTAATTTGAATTTTTTTTTTTGGTAGCAAGTTTAGAACTTTTGGCACACACTCTTTGTAGCACAGAAAATAAAATAAGTAATATTTGGAACGAGATTAGGGCTCCCGAACGAACCACTCAGCACCGCTTTTAGTGGCTCTCTGTGCTCAAGTTCTATTTGCGTTTGCTCAGAAACTCGGAAACCCACGACGGCAACGCGGCGGCAGACAGAGAGGGCGCTAGCTGCGCGAAAGAGAGAGCCGTAGCGGGGGAGAAAGAGAGGGCACGAGAAACCACCCCATGGAGTGATTGCGACAAAGCAGCGACGTCGACGCAGTGAAAAATCAATACTGCGCCCATGCGTCGACATCGCCGCCTGAGATGGCTATATATATAAGGTCTGGCCGTCTTCCTCTGTCTATATAGCTTCGATAGGAAAGCTATATGGAAATTATGCCCCGTAAGCTACAATAACAAAGGTGAAATGTGCAACATAGCAAGCCCGAAACCCATTGCCACATACGGCAGATAATAGAGTACAATATGGTACCCCTTTGAACTCCCCCACATTTGGCCAGAAGAGCACGGCTATATGGGCTAACAACACCCCCGTCGGGAAATTGAGAGCAGAGATTCGGGCCCTGGAAAAAGTCACCCCTAAGGCCCCGGAACTTTCACCACCAGCACCAAATACACACGCAAACTCGCCGAGCTCGAGTTTTAACCCATGATAACACTGCCTTATCCTGTTTTTCGTTTTTTTTTTTCTTTGGGTTCGTTGGTTCGTTTTTAAACCACCACGCATGCACTGCTCGCACCATCCAACCACCCTCTACATTTGGAAGGTAAAACACCACCAATCCCATCCCCTTTTAGGGGTTGTAAGCCCGTTTCACTTGCGCGTGCCAAACATCCGGCGACAGACAGTGAAGGCCCCGAAAAAGTGAACCCACTTCTGCAACTGGAACTGGGTTGAAATCAAAAATCAGGCAGACTGATGGTGGGATGTACGAGGATGGGCAAGAAGCAACCTGATTTCGTTCATCCCTTAGAACACCTAACTGGATGCTGACCAAACTGGCTCTTCATTCTGGGCAGGGGGATCATTCAACTTTCGCCTTGAAAGAGCCATAGATGCGAAAATAGATATTTAATTTTACAATAACGTAAATGGGTTTACAATGAAGGTACTAAAGAAATGTTTGCAATTGTACTAAGGTTTCTAAAAAATAAATTTGAATTCTAAAATTAAGGAGTTTTTATTTAAATAAAAATTAATTCGGGAAATGCAAAAATTTGAAAATCGTTTTAAAATATTGATGCTGTTCAATGACATATAGTGGTCAATGTTCTTTTGTTATCTACCACAGAATAAGTCATTGAGGCATACCTATTTGCATGACCTTAAGTGTATAGTGGCCCGAGTCTGTTTTTTTGTTGTTGTGGGGTTGCGTGCGCAGCGCTTTTCCCTTCCTTGTGTTTAGCTGGAAAAACTGCGCCGAGTGCCCCGAGATGCATGCTATAAGCCCCAAGTTGTAAGCCGATGTCAAGGCAACTGAGCACCCACTTAGTCAGTTACTAAGGCACCCCTAGTCAGACATTTTTTATCTGCCATTGCGTGGAGTTAACGAAAGGTAGCTTAAATATTTTGTTACCTGATTTATTTTTTTAGCTTCTCAAAAAATAAGATAAATATTTTATTTACTAGAAAAGGACACCGGGTTGCACTGGCGCTTGCGCACAGGATCTGTTAAATAAACTCTTTAGTTAACTTTTAATATAAATTTAAGTATTGTTAAAAATGTTTCAGTTTCCTATGTGGCATTGACACACATTGCAGATGCATTTTTTTGTGAGAATTGTTTAGCCCCTATTCCTTTTAAACCCTCTAATGCTTTTGCCTCCGTAGCTATGATCTATTTTTATTACTTGTTTTTGAATAGAGAACTTTTGAAAATACTTAATGCACCTCTGGATTTTGTTTGTGTGTGCCTACAACAACTCCCACTACAACAAACTCCCACTGCGTCAGCGCACACACGCTCACACAGGCGCATTGATCACCCACACTTGTACAGGCAGTTTGGGCTGGAAAATCAAATACGAAATCAGTGCAGCTGGCACAGTGGGCCATTAATTACAGTGTTATCAGTCTCTCGTCTCTCAAAAACATTCAAAATTAATAGAGTACAATTATCGTCCACTACAAAATTTGTTTGATAAAGAAGTTTAGGGAAATTTCAATTATACTACCCTTGGGAACACCTAACCTAATATTTTTCAACAAATACTATTACGAATCTAAAATTTGATGATTACCACGTGTTCCAAATTTCAGTTTTGATTATAATTTTTAAAAATTTGTTAAAGAGGTTCTCTAAAGAATCGTTTTCGTATGTTTAGAATCGACCCCACAGTGCGCTTCTTCCCTATATTCTTCTCTCTCCCTCGCTCTCTCGCAAATATATAATCAATAGCTATTTACTCGTACTCTCTCTCTTCTGTCCCTCTCTTTCGCTCTATTTGTACTTGACGCACAGTCTACAAAAACAATGATAACAGCGCAAAGACGAAAGAAAGGCGAGAAAAAATAAGTTACGCATGCGGCGGTTCGTTTTTCGCGGCAGCGGCGACGGCGCACCAACCACCCCATCCACCCACCTCCCACCGTTCACAGCCACCCACCCACAAACACACATGAGAACTATGTATGTATAAGCGACGGGCAAGAATTTACAGTGGCGGCGCACAAAAAGTAGCGGTGCAAAGTAGAGTTCATTGAAATAATAAGATTATTGTTTTGCCCCTTTTATATTGCTACACATAATTATTTCAGCCAAATTAATAATATTACTTTAAAGTATTGTGCAATTGCTATTATTCCAGCAGCAGCTGTTAGTCCCAATACAGCCACGTCGCCTCTTCCAATGGGAACTGTACTTTTTAAGCCACCCCCAAATAATCCCCACATCACAGTGGCGTCCTCGATTATTGGGAGTGAAAAATCTCTCAACGAAGGCTGCTGTGAGCCAGCCATCTCGCTCTGTTTTTTCCCTTCATGTGGTGTGTGTGTATCTGACAGTTTCCCATTTGCAGGGGGTGGTTTGGGTGCTTTTTGCAACCCCTAAGGCCACAGAATCAAAAGCACACACACAGAGATGCGTAAGATTCAAATTGGAATTGATAAGTGTTACGCATACGCCATGTATTACAGATGCAAGTGCACAGCCTCCCATTTTTAACCCCCTCTCCGCCCTTGTTTTCGGCTTTTCGCCCCTTACATTTTCACTTTTCTTAGCTGCGGCGCATGTTTTAATTACGGACACTCGCAGTTGGATTTTCTTTCAAGGC